TTATTTACTTTGTCAAAAACATATATAATGTTTATTCGGATATATAAAAAATAGGAATAGTATCATTGACTTTTGATTTTGAATAAAAAAGTATTACGAGCATATAGTGCATCACTTAGTTTATAGCTTGCAGACAGTGATCTAAGAGGCATCATCTTGTAGTAATGGGTGTGACAGTGATGAGACGGGAATTGATTTTATTAATGCAAGTTTTGACAATCCTAGTATTGATGGTTTATCTTACGGACGTCATATTAAAAGATACCAATTTGCATTACATCAACATCAAAGAAGTTTGATTTGTTCACAGATACGTGTCAGAGTGATACCTGTAGCAGTTGCACTAGATTGATATACAACAAGATATGTGTGAGCATATATTGCAACATTTACTTTAGAGTTATAATTTTACTAAATCTGATGGAACATTAGATAATTTAAGTCTATCTCTTTTGGTTTATTCAATTTGAATAGTACTTTTGCAATACCGATACCTTAGTTTTGAAACATTAGCAGCAATTTCATTTCAAAAAGATCAGTTTTCAACTTCGTACTATGTTTTGTTCATAAAATGTGTATTCAACACAGGTCAAAAGTCAGGGTAATTTCAAGTTTAAAATATCAATATCTTGGATAGTTGGCATTTTAAGACATTTTGCCGATGGTGTGACCCTTCACAACCGATGATTATGTGACCTGAGGTAAAGATCAACTGAATGGGTGTAGGTAATTTCAAGGTCAATATCTAGCAATTTGGTGTTTTAAGGCAATTGAGAACAATTCTGACCCTTGACAACCGATTATTAGGTGACCTGTTGTCAGGGTCAAGGTCTATAGGTCAAGATCATTTCGAGGTCATCAATATCTAAATATTTGGCGTTTTGTGAATCATGAATGTGTGACCTGAGGTCAAGGTTATTTCAAGGTCAAATATCAGTATCTAAGTATTTGGTGTATTAAGGCCCTGGTATCTGCTGTGGCCCCTAGCGACTCATGATAGGGTGACTTCCAAGGTCAATATCTAGCAATTTGGAGTTTAAAGGCAATTGAGAACAATTGTGACCTTTGGAGACCAATGATTAGGTGACCTGGTTTCAAGGTCATTTCAAGGTCAATATCTAAGTTGTTGGCAAATGTGGGGCTACAGTCCTATTTAATGACCAATGATAAAATGACCAGAGATCTATAAGTCAATGTTTATGGATCAAGATCATTTCAAGGTCATAGCTCAATATCTAATTAGTATTTGGCGTTTTGGGGCTGAACGTGTTTTTGTGAAAACAATAAGATTTTTCTTATGTAAAGTCCCTGTGATAAAAATGATATCATCCAACTTCTTCACTTGAAAAGAAAAAAACATCATGAATCCCCCTCAACCTTTATTTTTCAACTTATTTTTTATGATTTCATTCTGGTTTGATTACTTGACAACTTAATGATACACTACATGATTTTACTACTATATGTACGGGTATAAGCATCAAATGTGGTGCCACCTGTTATTAATAACATTCGTAATAATGCTTGAATGTATCAAAAAATTGAAATTGAAAATATAAATATTTGAAAATATATCTGAAATATTATTGATAAGATCCCCACCTTGTCACTTTTTGAAAAATATTAGGCTTATTTTCTAAAGTATTTTTTCTTAATTCGAATATATCAAAAGTTCTTCTACGCTAATGAATTAACAAATTCTGAAAAGGGGACGGGTATTGAAATGCGATAAAGTTAAAAACCATAAGTTCCATGTTATTTTCCATTGGAAAAACTCAAACTTTCCATTGTTTTCAACATAATTGTGGTCATCGAAAATTAATATCTCCAAAACTAGACTTTCATTACAATTCTACTAATGAAAAAGTTTTAGATCACTTGTTGAATAATATTTTCATGCAATTCAAATAAAAAAGAAGAACCTCTGTTGAGTAAATAATTTCAAAAAATGTGGAGAAGGGTTCCCCATTCATAGTTTTTTAGATTGTTTGAATGATATTTTTATAATCATTGAGAATTGAATTTTCTTGAAAGATAACATATTGTGTTTTTGAGAAATGTCATATTTATATTGAGAAAGTAGTCATGGTAAAATATATGACGATCAGATATCACTTGCCATACTATACCTGGTCCTTTGCCAATTTGAAGTGAATTGTAAAATCATATCGGAAGAGAGGACATCCAAATATGAGGTCATTAGTTTAATGACTGCAATCAGTAATCAACAGCCACGAGAGTTACTTTCTCTAGTAATTCTGAATTGGATCAGTATTGTATTGTATTGTATTGTATTGTATTGTATTGTATAATATGACCATTTAATTCACACTAGTGTCTTCATATGCCTGGACTAAAAAATCCTGAATCTGTTTGGGTGAAATAACCAAATGTGACCAATAATATGAGTATATTTGAGTATTGTCTCTTCACTTTCCAGTCAAAAATGTAAGATTTAAAAATATTTTTACAAATAATTGCAGTAAAACATGCAAAATATAATGCACATTGGTTATTGAAATGTAAAGATAGTCCATGAGGGTATGGTTATATTATTAAAAACAATTATGGTAAAAATTGGGTATTTCTAACCATATAATGCTTTTTATTCCAAGTTCAAAGACATTCTTCCTATTTTACCTCTGAAATGATTTTCATACCACCGAATAACCATTATATCAGTTTCTGGCAAAGTAAATAAGTGTAGGGCTTACACAAGGATCAACGGTTTTTAAGACTGTTTATGTACTTGTATATCCCCTGCCGTTCTAAGAGGAAGAGCAATGAATTGCGATTTCAGTCAAAACAATGAAATAAACACAATCTGTTTATTTTGTTAAACACTTAACAAATAAAATTGTGTTTAACCTTATATTTTTTCAAAACATCACTAAATATGAAAATATTGCAAATAAAGTTGATCCTTGTGTGAGCCCTATATTTATTTACTTTGCCAAAAATGAATATAATGGTAATCAAAATATTTTGAAAACATTGAATAGGTGAAATAGGAATATTATCATTAACAACCATGACTTTTGAATAAATATGGTATTTTCAGGTCAGAAATATATAATTCTTCACAATTATTGTTTTTTATAAAAATGGCCACACGCAAATGGACTATCATACTTATCAATATCAAAGGACGATTCTCGGTTTGGAGAACGAAGTTCATCAATCTAAATGAGCATTATCCCTGCTTCGGACAAATTTGATTTTTTTACATAATATAGATTTGAATGTCTTCTTTTGAATAGTTATAATTTAATTTGGGTAATATTTCTAGATTTTTCGCAAAAAAATATTAGCGCAGTACACTGATGAACTTCTTTCCCCAAATCGAGACTTGTATTTTATTGAATCGGTCAAATTGAGCCTTATCCCTGCTTCAGACCAATTTGTTATTTTTACATCTTGTAGATTTAAATGTCCTCTTTTGAATATTCATAGTTTAATTTGGGTAATATTTCTAAATTTTTCATTAAAAAAATTATTAGCTCAGGAGACTGTTCTCCAAACCGAGAATCGTCCTTTGCCTCCTTTATTGTATACCCATTGCCATTATTTGAAAAAAATAATTTTTTATCAAACTCATCTTTTTGATGGTTGCACCTTGGTGCAAGCCGTTTAGCCCTTTCGTGTCACCTTTTTGAGTGCAGACAAGTAAAAATGAATAGTTGATGGACCAATCTATAATGATAATAGGTCACTTCATAGTAAGCTACCACAACATAGGTTTTTGTGATTTTCTGGGGTTTTGGCACACACTATATGTCTTCTCTCTTTAGAATGCTTAGCTGTAAACGATTAATCTCCCTACATTTCCAGGAGATGAATTTCACATTAGAATTGTTGGATACTACAAAGGAATTCTGTCAATTAGATTTACTCGTTCTAACAAAATCGCAAGAACCTAACATGGACTTAGAATTCACATTGTCCCTTGCTAACGGAAGCATACCAGAATGCGCATGCAGTGACAGTCTGCCTCGTGTGCTGCTTTTAGCACCTGCATATGTATCAGGTCAGTCAAAATCCATCTTTTGATTTGATTTTGAAATAAAGAAATGATTTTCAACTTAAATCATACATTTATTTTCAATTTTTGGTAGAATAAATATTAATATATATTAATTTCTAAAATAGCTGTTAATACGTAAGTCCAATGCAAATGAGGAAACTTCCAAATAACAATGGTAAATTAGAACTGGGCATTGGTCTTAAATATAAATCAAAGAAAGGTCAAATCTGAAATGAAATAAACACCGGACATCTGATTTTGAAAAAAAATTATTTTGTCCTTTACATAATTTTATTTGAGTCTTCATAAAATTTTTAAAAGGATCTTGCGCAGCTGGACAGGTAAAGCTCAACTCAACCTGCTACCTGATAGATACAGAACCAAAGACATACGAAAATGCCACAATATCCTGTCAGGCACAAGGAGGTCAACTGACATCCATCCTATCTATTGATGAGAATGAATTCCTGGCTGTTGAAATACGGAAATTAAACAACACTCCTTTGAAGTTTTACATAGGTAACTGATCTAATCTATTAGCTTGTATTCGCGAATGCAACTAACGCCCGACGACTACAGGATTAACCTACTATTTCATGACGAACTCATTTAAATATGAATGGAATAGTGGCAGGTACTATTCAAATTTAAATGAGTTGCCCATAAAATAGCAGGTTAATCCGGTAGCTGACAGGCGTTGGTTGCATTAGTGAATACAAGCTGAGCTTTTTTAATAAAGCATATACATGTACAGTAAAACCTGTGTATATTGAACATTTTTGCCAAGAAAATGTTACTAGTGTTACTATGTGTTCACTACAGAGAAAGATATTTATACAAAGGTCAGTAGAGTATGTGTAGATGAAGGGTGTCCAATAGAGACATGTGTTCAATAGAGAGAGGTGTTCACTAAGACAGGTTTTACTATACACACCTTTCAGTGCTAGTGGAAATGAGAATCAATATTACTCCAAATTATCAGGATGATATCATACACTCATATATGTTTGAGCTTGAGGATTATGTAACATAAGGTTTTAGATTATAACATGGATCACAGCAGATACTGTATAACATGCACTTTTATGTAAAACTTGTCTCCAGGGTTCTCACTAGGCTTTTAGACTCCGGAGATTCTCTGGAGTCTAATGTCTTTAGACCCTCAGGGTTCGTACACACCTGGAAATGTCAGGGAAATTGATTTATTTTTCCAGGTGCTGGAAATGTCAGGGAATTTTAAAACTAGGTCAAAAAGGGCCAAAAATGTCAGGGGATTTTGAATCAGTGTATGTGTCAGGGAAATGTCAGGGAATTTTGTATGATTGTTAAAAAAATAATGTTCCAGCAAAATACATTCTAAGGCTATGACAGGATATCAATGAAATCCAAAATCAAATGTTAAGTTGTTTCCACTAATTGTAAATCTTTTCATTTTGGTTGATTGAATAACATTAAATCTGGTTTTGTCTATTTGTAAGAACAGTTTGAACATTATACTGAAACCGAATAAAGAATATGTATAGATGGTTCAATACAATTATGCTTTCCATGTAGTAAGTTAGTCTTAGGCCATTCAAAGTTAATTACTGGTATATGTTTCATGGTTTTGTTTGGGGTTAATCTGAGGAGGGTGGGAGGTGAAAAACCAAAAAAATCCGGTAACTCTTTACAGTTTAAAATTGTATTTATATTAAGAAGGTGTCTGTTCGACAGTCCGGTCGTATTCAGTCTATTTATCTATCGGGGTGATAACTCAAATATCAGTTGACAGATTTGGTTAAAATTGTATATACCAATGCTTTTGTTACTGTATATAGAGCCTCTGCCCAAGAAGCCATGTGCCATTTTTCATATAATGTTCACAATGATAGTATTTGATAGAATATGTTTCATTAGGTGGGAATTGCCCCTCAAGGGAGGTGCTATTTTTCTTTAGATCAACATTTTGAAGTTTCAGTTTTTATTTGGATTCATTACAAAACATTAACAAATTATAGTTTGAAATGCTTAGAAAGCACCATATACAATTGTCAATTTTGAAACCCCCCCTCCCCCCTTTTGGTTTTCGTTCGCTCGCAATGATGCAAGCCCCAAAAGATGCACCTCCTTGACACTTGTTGGCTATGCCCCTGTACATGTATGTTTACCTTTGGCCTTATGCAATGTAAATATGTAAAATTGAGAATATAATGTATCAGGAATAAATTGGTGAATAAGACGGCCTGTAGAAGTAAAGTTAAGTCATGAGAAATGGTACTTAAGTGGTACAAAATGTTTCATAATAAGTCTTGTCTTTTAAATAATACAGTTGTTAGTGTTACGCGGAATATGGCATATATTCATGGTTGTGCGGTATTTGTGATACTGGTGAATATACCATACTCACCTGCGGTATATGGCATATTCCACAGGTGAGTATGGCATATTTTGCAGTGAATATGCGATACATTGATTTCAGTGAATACCACATACTCACTAAAGAATATGTCACACTCTCCTCTCCTGCGGAATATGGCATACTCAAATGCGGAATATGCCATATACCGCAGATGAAAACGTGATTCAGAAAGCCTCGATTTGATTGGTCAAAAGAATTGATTCTAAATGTAAAACTACGCTAGATTACCAACAAAGTTAGTGCCTCGAGTACTAATATGAATGAATCCTGGATTGATCAAGTACGTTCATTACGTGTAATTGCTGAATGATACTCCTGAAAGTATCAGAAATGTGTAAATCATGATTGCCAATATAACAATATATAAATACTCGTGATTTTTTAAAGTTTTTATCTGGCTTTTGTCAACTGTCGATTTGGTTATAAAAGTTTTTCGTTTATTTATGCGTCATAATGGTTCCCTTGAAGTGTGTTTTGCATGTAACACATATACAAAACAACATAAGACAATACAGGTACCGTACTGGTGTATGTTATTCAATTGTATTAGCTGATATATTCAATGCATTAAGATGTTGATTCAGTAATCATAATAATAATTTATAGACTTTAGCACATTCATTCAATCGATGTAATTGACAATTGCATATTTCTGTATCGTGTTCTCATTGGTTAGTGTGTATGCCATATTCCACAGGTGAATCTGGCATACACAGCAAGTGAATATGCCTTATTCGTTGAGGAATATGACATATATTTGTATCGTGTTTATCGCGTAACAGAGATTTTTTAGAGGCCGTGCAAGGAAAACTAGATCTGGAAATTTCCTTTTTGCCTGGAAATGTCAGGGAATTGTCAGGGAAATTCATTTTGAAAAAGGTGTACGAACCCTGACCCTTTTGCATCATAGTCCAAAACCTTTTCTGGAGTCTAATTGTACATTTTTGTCACATTATTTGTGGTAACACTCTTGAGAAAATACAAAAACTAGATACAAACAAGGAATGGCAAGTCAGAAACCTTTTAGAAATGTATATTTTGATTTAAATAAGAAATGAATATTGTGATTAAAATAGGAAGATACTATAATACTATAGACTACAGTAGGGGACATAAATAAATGACAGGTGGATTTGCTGAAGTGAGGATTTCCCATGTTAAAAATAAGAGAATTTACAAGAGGCCATAAATCAGTGGATGAGATTATACAAAATGTAAAATATACAAATTTTAAGGGATATGTATCTAGACAATATTGGAAATTATGAGCTTTCAGACCACCATAATTAGGAAATGGTGATCGAAAATCGACCTGTCATTTATTTTTGTCCCCAACTGTAGTACTATAATACTACTACTAAGTAGTATTTTGAAAAGTATACTAATAGGATATCTCTGATCTAACATGGGGAGAAGTCATCGCGATACCGCGAAAAATCCAGGGTCTAAAAATGTCCTGGTGAGAACCCTGGAAACCATATTAAGTATGGGATATATATGTATTCAGGACTTTATGCTCAAGACAATATATACACTCAATGGGTTGATGGCAGAAGTGTGAATTACACCAATTGGGCAAGAGGTGAACCAAACACAAACTGGGAGGAATGTGTCATAATGAATACAGGATTCCAATGGAATGATGTACCATGTTCCGGGTCTTATGCATCCATCTGTAAATTCGACTCTAGTAAGTTTTACTAATTTTATGTTATGCCTTAATAATTGTCATTGTTTATATTCTTCTCTTGATGTTATCTTTGTAATCATATTTTCTCCTACCGTATTATCTCTAATGACTGCACAATGCAGTTTCAAAATTGGAAAATTAGACAAAATATTGTAAATGCTCTTTTTAGTTGTTGTTGTCAAATTCCATTTGACTTACGAATAAGTAGACAGATGGATGGACAGGCATATAAATTCTATATTTACTTGGTGGGATAATAAACTCAACTAACTTATGTCATAATGCGTTAATAAAGATGTATGGAATGTCCTTATTTGGAAGCATTCCAAAAATAACAGTTTCTTGATTATTCAATCTTATAAATAACATTACCATTTCACTTCAAGATTGTGAAACGGGGTGGACATTTGGAGCAAATACATCCAGTTGTTACAAAGCCTTCCAACAATGGAAGACTTACTATGAGGCTAGGAGAGAATGTCTAGCTCACAATGCTGATCTAGTTTCTATAGAATCTGATGAAGAATTGGACTTTGTCGTTAGTCTTGGTAAAATCTACCTCTAATTACTCATGAAAATATTATAACAGGAGTTCAGAAAAAGTGTTTGTGTGAAAAGCCTACTAACTAGGGCTGGCACGGAACGGAACGGAATCGGAACGGATTTCGGAACTTGGCTTCGGAATTCGGAACTTTCGGAATTTCGGACCTTATTTAAAATAGTTCCTACTTCTCCCCTTAAGTTCTCATTTTTGTCACCATGGGAACAGCAGTGTACAACTACATATATATAAGTTGTATTGTGTTCATTAAATACAAACACTAACACTATCTAACTGCCAGAACAAGTAGCATAAATGCTCAAAACTAATGGCAAAATGTTAATGTCCTTGCCTTCTTGGCACCTTAGCTCACCTTGGCACACAACTGTTACTGTCTTTCTTTCAATAATAATCTTTTCTTATAGGTACAGAATATATATATAAAACAATCATACTTTATTATTTCTATCATTTATTACATATAAAACAACTTTACCAAGTGAAAATGTTTAATAATTATACATATTTATTGATTTTGTTTCATAATACTAGTTCGCTATATAGTCCACCCGTGTAGCTCAGCGGTAGCGCAGGTACCTCTTACGCAATAGGTCCCGGATTCGATTCCCGGTTCAGGCAAGACTAAATTTGCTTGTTTGCGTGAAGTACTTCAGGGTGTTTGACTGAGTGGTCCGCAACTTGTACAAAAGGCTGTGGTGTGTACTTGTATGTCTATGTATAAGTGCACATAAAAGAACACAGGGCTCCTTCAAGGAGGGGTTTCTGGGTCTATCTTCCATGTTAATTACGTAAATTACGACCGTATATATACGGGACATACCCAAGAGGTATTGCTCACCTTCATTGGTGGTAAACAAAATACAATACAATATATAGCGAGTTAGCGTGTCGGTATAACGATAAGTGAATGTTCTTTAAGGAAATAAGAGTTCCGAAATTTATCGGAATATGAGAAGGTAGGTCCGAAATTCCGTTTCTGAAGGCAAAATCGGACGGTTCGGACAATAATTCCGTTCCGTGCCAGCCCTACTACTAACTACCTGGGCTAACTACATAACTGCATTTAACTATAAAATACAAGTAGTTATTCCACACTTTGATCAACACAGAAAGAATTTGAAATGATACAAGTATATTGTAAACAAATGCTAGCTATCAACATGTTCTTCAAAAAAACAACTCCAAAATAAAGAGTTTCTGAAAGAAAACAGTGGCATTTTGAATTGAATTATCAAGAGAAGGTGTCCTATCAAACAATGGCTAGTTTAGTGCATTGACATTGTATACTGTTATATAATTGATTGACTGGACTATGCTAGGTCAAAATTTGGTACATTTTAGTGGAGAAATAATTCTTGCACATATGTTTACCAAAATGCTCAATTTTTTGAATCACCCTGTAATGAGAATAACTATTTTCAGTACCACAGCATTCGTGGATCTGGATCGGAGCTGAATTTGACAGTGTTGATTATGTGTGGAAATGGGTTGACAAAGAGACTTCATTTGATCTTCAATTTATACCAGACTTCTCATTTGGTATCATAAATAAACAGGCTTCAATATCATCTGATGTGGCTTGGTATAATGGTTATCACTTTATATGTGAAAAGAAATGTAAGTACTATGATTTCACTTTAAAGGGAATATACAGGGTGTTTCATATGTATGCACCCCCTCCAAAATTATGGTTGACTTCATTTGCACTTCAATTTATACCATACTTCTCATTTGGTATCATAAATGAACAGGCTTCAATATCATCTGATCTGGCTTGGTTTACTTATCAGTTTTTATGTGAAAAGAAATGTAAGTACTGTGATTTCAATTTAAAGGGAATATACAGGGTGTTTCATATGTATGCACCCCTCTAAAATCATATATGTAGCTTGGCACCCTATCGTGTTTTTTGTTCCTCATAGAAAGTTACAACATATCAAAGTATGTGGGTAGGTACATGTATGGGGTCAATTTCTGGAAAAATTTAGTTTTCATATTGCACATTTCTAGCAGTTGTCATCATGACAAAGTTCAGTCCACATGTCTGTGACATTTATTCACAAAAAGATATAAACAGGGACTATGGTACCACCTTTATCACTAAGAATGGGTAATGGACAAAGTGAACAGGTCACCGGAATGGGTCCAAAAATACTTACACGTTACCTCATACCCGCATACTTTTGATACATTGTATCTTTTATGGGACACCCCTTGATTTTGAAACTTCGCAATCTTATGTAACTTTCCATAAGGAACAAAATGATTCATAACATGATAGGGTGACAATGCTACATGTATGAGTTTTGAGGGGTTGCATACATATGCAATACCCTGTTATCTTGTTAATAAAAGTGCTATAAGTCATCTTGGCTTGTTTTTCTCTTAAATATTACTAAAAGATACAATGAATATTTTAGTACTTGATTCTTAAAGAACTGCTGTTAGAAACATACATTTCAAGCTTTATGGAGTTAATATTTTGAGTTCAACTACATTTGTTTCCAAATTATATTTTGGTCAAAGGGTAACCAATAACGTTTCCTAGTTTTTTCAACTTCCTGATTCTGCCTAATGATAATTGCATGTTGCACGATTCAATGATTTAAAATGAATGATACTTTTCAGTATGTGATACACCATGTTGTAATGCTAAGCGACGCTGGGTGAAAATAGATTACCTTTCCGAGAAAGGTGATGATATCTATAACTGGTCTAACATGACACTATCAGAATCTACCTGTATCAATAAATGCAGAACCACAATAGGTAAGAACTAGTGTTATGGCAATTAATTGATACGCCTATAATCTACATGTTTTAATGTTTTAAATAGATCAATACCCAACTGTATAACATGACAATGTCAGAATTTTCGGGAGAATTTCACTGTATCATCAAATGCAGAAATGCTACTATTCTTTTCTGTGCATTTTTTGGCAGGCCAATATCCCAGATGCGAGTAGAAATATTTACGTCATTAAAAATCCACAATTCAGTCAAACTGATGTCATATTTGGAATCTACATTCAAAATTACATTTAATAATGTGGTTTTGAAAAGAGTTTATCAACTTTGAAAATTTAATTTTCTTTGAAAATGTGACTTCTAGGTCGGGGAGATTCCCCATAGACCCAATGTTGTAAAACCACAAAAAGTGAAATATCTTTTCTTGTGTTGGGCAGATAATATTTTCTTTTACTGGACATATGTTAATTTGTATAACTATCAGATACATAAGGGTAATATGAAAAGTGAACCACTAAAACTGATGCATATTCAAGTTTAAGGGAATTTTGTAATACCCTGCCATGTTAATTCCCTGAATCAGCCACCTGGTGGCGAAACTGGTAACTACCTACTCGCATCTGAGTAATTGATCTGAAATTTTCAAGAATGTTTCTTGGTAGGAAAATGTATACCAGCTGATTAGATTTTGGGCATGCATGCTACATGTAGGTATTTAAAAGGGGGCAATTTTTGTATCTTTAGGTACAATATTGTTCACTGTGTGCTTTGTTTCAGGGTGCAAACACATTATTTATAATCATACTGCAAACTTGTGTGGAATGTCAAGTGAGAGGCCAGAGGATTTCTCAGATTTTCTACTACTTAATTTAGCTGGTATATCCTTGACTGATATCTACTGTGGTAAGTGATATACTGATTGAACACAATTTCTTATACAAGGCATTAACATGACAAAATGTCACCACCTAAAACAATTTGGTCAATTTAAAGCAAGTTGAAAAAATACCTCTTTGACTTTTTTTGACATTGAGAAGGTCATTGAAGGTCAAATGTCAAATGTAAAGTCAGATTTGAACTTCTGAGAACATGTAGATGATTTTGAAAAAAAATTAAGTAAATTTGAAGCAAGTTGAAAAAAGACCTTTTTGACATTGAAAAGGTCATTGAAGGTCAAATGCCAAACCTAAAGTCAGATTTGAACTTCTGAGAACATGTGGATGATTTTGAAAAAAAAATTAGTCAATTTGAAGCAAGTTGAAAAAAGACCCTTTTGACCTTGAGAAGGTCATTGAAGCTCAAAGGTCAAATCTAAAGTCAGATTGGAACTTCTGAGAACTTGTAAAGTCAAATTTGAACTTCTGAAAAGATGTAGATGATTTTGAAAAAAACATTTGGTCAAATTGAAGCAAGTTGAAAACAGACCTTTTTTGACCTTGAGAAGGTCATTAAAGGTAAAATGTCAAATCTAAAGTCAGATTTGAATTTCTGAGAACATGTAGATGATTTTGAAAAAAAAATTAGTCAATTTGAAGCAAGTTGAAAAAAGACTTTTTGACCTTTTTTGACCTTGAGAAGGTCATTGAAGGTCAAATGTCAAATCTAAAGTCAAATCTAAAGTCATATTTGAATTTCTGAGAACATGTAGATGATTTTGAAAAAAAAATTTAGTCAATTTGAAGCAAGATGAAAAAATACCTTTTTGACCTTTTTTGACATTGAGAAGGTCATTGAAGGTCAAATGTCAAATCTAAAGTCAGATTTGAATTTCTGAGAACATGTAGATGATTTTGAAAAAAAAATGTAGTCAATTTGAAGCAAGTTGAAAAAAGACCTTTTTGACCTTTTTTGAAAAGGTCAAATGTCAAATCTAAAGTCAGATTTGAAGGTCAAATGTCAAATCTAAAGTCAAATCTAAAGTCAGATTTGAATTTCTGAAAACATGTAGATGATTTTGAAAAAAAATTTAGTCAATGTGAAGCAAGTTGAAAAAAGACCTTTTTGACCTTGAGAAGGTCATTGAAGGTCAAATGTCAAATCTAAAGTCAGATTTGAACTTCTGAGAACATGTAGATGATTTAGAAAAAAATTGAAGTCAATCTAAACAGTATTTGTTAAGTTATAGGAAGTTGTAAGAAATTGTTACAGACGCCGGACGCCAGACGCCGGACGCCAACCACCAACCGCCGTCGCAAAAAAAACGGAGACCATAACAATATGTCACCACTTTTGGTGGTGACATAATAACCTGGTGAATTATATTACATGTACAGTATATATGGTATGGTGTAATTTGGATTTTTTTTGTATGTACAAAGCCCTTGTTATACATCAAAAAATAACTGGGGTTTATAGAGAGTACTTACTAAAATTTTGTTTAGCACCATAAGAAAATAATCCATAGATAGTACATCAAAATAACTCTGCACAACTTCTACATTTAAATTATATTATATACAGGGTGTCAAATAAGTCCCGTCCCCCGTCTACAGTCAAAATCTTAATAGATGGTATCTAGTATGATATACAATTGGAAAGATCATTCAAAGTTACGTTAACTCACCTACTGTCAACTACTTATTTTGGATGAAATTTAGCTATATTTTCATAATATCCTTTATAGTTAGTGTGCCCTCCTCCAGCGGCCTTTTTTGCATCAAAATGAGAAGGATTTTACCTCAAAAATATGTCAAAAAGCTAATTTTTTTCGCATTACACTTGTTACAAAAGTGTTTTCCCACTATCCTTGCCCATCTATTTATCTACACATCTAACACTATCTAGAAATTGGTTGAATTTACAGCCATATACACATGTTGTCATCTTGGGCACCTTTGACTTTTCTGATACCCGATTCTTAAAATCCTGCAAAATATGTCAAATTGCCATGTTTCTAGGTCTATGGTCACCTCAATTGATACAATGTAGCAATTTATGACATTGATTGACAGGTATCTGCTATATGCCAATCAACATAACTTTGGACAATCTTTCCAATGATATATCACACTTGATACCATATATCTTGGTTTTGGCTGTAAAGGGGGGGGGACAGGACTTATTTGACACCCTGTACATTGAAAAATGGTTTATTTTTTCTCATTCAAGATACTTGCCAGAATGGGGATATCAAACCAAGAACTCAGAATGGCCTAAAGTACTTGCATTGTGTAGATGACATCCTCTACATTAAGACATGTCCCTTAGCTACCTACATGGACTTTTCCACTAATGCCTGCACTGATATGCCAGTCTTCAATGATACTTGTCCATGTACAACAACACAGACAACCTCTGTTACAACTAGTACAACAATGACAACTACATCCAAATCAATGACAACAATATCCAGTACAATGATGACTACATTCAATACAGAGATGACTACAGCAGTACAGAGCAGTACAGAGATGACTACTGCCAATTCGGAGATGACCTCAGACAATACAGAGATGACTACAGCCAGTACTGAGATGACTTCATTCAATACAGAGATGACTACAGCAGCACAGAGCAGTACAGAGATGACTACAGCCAGTACAGAGATGACTATAGCCAATTCAGAGATGACTTCAGCCAGTGCAGAGATGACTACAGCCAATTCAGAGATGACTTCAGCCAGTGCAGAGATGACTACAGCCAATTCAGAGATGACTACAGCCAATAAAGAGATAACTATAGCTAATAAAAAGAGTAATATAACCAATACAGAGATGACTTCAGGCAGTTCAGAGATGACAACATCAAGTTCAGAAATGACTACACCCAGTACAGTGTTGACTACATCAAGTTCAGAGATGACTACACCAACTAGCAAATCTCAGACCACACAAAGTACAGAATCAACAAAAAACACTTCAGAGAAACAAAGACAATTCACACATACATTTCAACTGTTTCTTAAACCAACCGTTTACACAACAAAGAAGGCAGGCCTAAAGTATGAACCTGATTTATTCACAGATGCAGATAAAAGACCATCAGCAATAGCAATAGGTGGAACAGGCTGCATTGTACTAATCGCTACCATTGTCTTGATTATCCTGAGTGATATTAGGAAATTGACTTTAGACACTCGTACTGGAATAAAGAGGGTGATACGATATTTCCGCCACTTAATGAATAATAAAAAAAAAGTGACACATATCATGGTTTTGCCAAAGTCCAAGGAGACTAGAAGTGATCAATAAAGAAATGGACCATGTGACGACCATACATACAGCTCAACAATTATAAAAATAAGTTCACATTCTGCCGGAGTCATATTCAAACCCATAAATAGGTTAATTCAGGATGCCAATTGATCGGAATTATTTGAATACGCTAGATGTCACAAAAGACATTATTTTAATAAGCCAATAGAGACATACTGAAATACTGCTAAGACACCCTTCTAGGCAGAGCAAGTAGATTATAAGAAGCTTTTATGGAAGAGTTGTGTCTCATAGAGACACCACTGGAATGTCATTTTGGCAAATGCATGGACTCAAAAGTGTACAAATATGTAAATGGAATTGACTTAACAATACATACATTATCATTAGATGTGTTTTTAATATATATTTATTAAGTCATATTACTACAAATATGTCATTTCTTTCCATAGAAAGTGTAAATTAAAATATACATTTTTTATATTGTAGTTAATTTGTCAGTTATAAGGCTTTACATATTGTAAAAGTGAAGACATTGACGATATAATTTAGTGGAATCAATATGCTAACAAGGTTCATGATGGAACCAAAATCATACCACCAAGCAACCACCCAAAAGTTAATGAATTGTACCTGGTACCACATTCTAGTGTACGTTTTTAAAGAAAATCTGACAAGGAACTTCCCTCGAATCATGTTCACAAAAAATCAGATGACAATCACGAGCGTGATCCTACCATCATTATTAAGACTATATCCTAATTAAATGATTGGTGCTGTAGATATTGTGAGCTTTCGTGGCCCGTTGTCCTCATAAACGGCTAAAATACCGTAACTCCCATTCATAGATTTCAATATACCATGTATATCTATCTACATAGCCTCTTCGTTTCTCATTGTTTCACATCTGAAACTTACATAAATAATGGCATACTCACTGGTGCAAATACATGGCCTCCTTCAAAGTCGGCACCCTCAACCAAGGACTGCTGAGCATTCAACTAAAAAATAGGAATGTATGATTAACATTCAAAGATCTTTGATTGTCCTTCCAAAATCCCTTTTGTCAGCGAAAGACGTTTCCGAGAAATCATGCCATCTTTTGATCCATCAGAGAAACTATTTATTTGATATCATCAGTTGTAGGTAGCAATCTGTCCATGCAAAAATATTATTAATTTATCGCTAATTTTGAAAAAGTATAACTTATGACATCATCAATCTAGCCAATATATTGTGGTTTCAAAAAATGGCACGATTTATCGGAAACATCTATTGCAAAGAAAATAATGAAATTCATACGATCATTGAATGCAGGTACCAATGTTTACAGACAAAGTACACTGACACTTTCAAATTAAGATAATGAGTTAATTTTGGCTACAATGCCATAACAAAAACTCATAACATTCATATTAATTTTTTAGTGTTTCGTTCAGAGATGGATTGCCAGACAGCCAAGTGGGTGGGTGATACTGCCTTTATAATTTTTCACATTTTGTTTACTGTTGTAAATGTACATTATTTTTGATTATACATTATTAATCTTTGTGCAAAAACATGTAAAATGTAAATAGCTTGAAGGCAGTGAATCATTAGAGATGATAATAGTAGACACAATAATCAAAGTTGATGCCAACATTTAAAGTTGTTTACCTGTAGTATGTGATCCCTGGCCTCATGTATACACTGGAAACCAGCATTGCTTCCATACTCTACCAGGACCTGGTGAATATAAAGTACAAAATGGATGGACATCATTCAGTTTAATATGACACTTTACTTTCATAAAGGCGAGGCCCAATTGTATATATTAAGGGGTGTAGCCAGGGTTTTAATATAAGTGAAGCAAATCTAAATATCTGAGAAAACTATAGACTAAATGTTATTTTATACTATACTTGTATGGACAAAATTTTAGTTCAATATAATGTTCAATATAAAACCACCTAACTTTGTGAGGTGATTGCCTCATACCCATGATGTTTGGAGCCACTCACTTGATTAAATAGATGAACGTGTATTCACTGGGATTTAGAATGCTTTGTTTTTGTATATTCCAAGAATTAAATACAACAGAAAACATACCACAAGAAATGGAGAATTCTATTTAAACAGCACCCTCTTTCATCATTACATACATTTTCCACACCTTATTTCATTGGACACAACTTCTACATATAATACATACCAAATAACCATTAGTTCTCTTCCACAGTGACTCCACAACCTCAAGTCTATCTTTAGTATGTTTCAACTCCATAAGTGAATAGGCGCTGACTACAACATCATATTGTCTCTGCAAGAATATCAATTTATCAGTTATCACTTGATTGTATTAAATTATGAGGTCAAAACTATTCAGTATTATTTTTAAAAAGGATGATGTTATTTTTGTCAACAAATAAATATGTGGTAATTTCAAGTACCGGTAGGTACCTATTTGAGAAGTACTTCTGAGTTACTAGAATAGTAATTTACACAATATAAACAAACTTTATATTACAGCCTGTGACCTTAAATCTGTAAAAATGTCAGTAATTTTACTAACCGTGTTTGATTCAGGACGGAAAAACTCTTTAAAAAAGACACCCTTAAACGCCATTTGTTCATTGTTCTCATCCCCGCCCAGTAGGAGGAGTTTTGCTAGCGTGTTCATGTCTGACGATTTGTCCACACAATAATGTTCAACAAGAGATTTACGCCAAACCTGATTGGCTGCCCTATAATGAAAATGGGGTTAATTTCAGAAACAGAGATCCTCACCAGAACAAATCCATATGTTGTATACAGTGGTATTGAATTTCAAGGATACATTTAATTGTGAAATCAGAATATTGTTATTTAATTAGAAAATAGAAATGTAATCTATCTACATCACTCTAATATAACGTTCCAGCATCAAAGAACGTGAATATTTTTTCTAGCCCTGAGTGGGTAAAACAAACTTTGCAATGAAAAGTGAGACAATCAAATCAAATTTGGCATATGTTATTCATTTGTATCTGGCAGTCTAACAACATGAGTTTTTATTTGTCCTCCCAAATGACATCCTAGGGACATCGCATTGACATTATTTTCAAAATAATCTGAAAAGGAACAAACAGAAAGGAATATGTAACTTACCATGTAGCTGTCCCAACACCAGAACCAAAATCAAACAATCTATTTGGGTTAAAGTCAGGATCACGCTGGGAGATCTGCACAAAAATATTGATACATCATTTTCATATATATCTACATCTACTTATAAATTGTAACTCAATGTTTATGTTAATTCATTTCAAATGAATGTGTTTCTAGATTCTTACCTGGGTGAATATGTGTCTCAAGACATGGTATTGTTGTACGCCACATCCTAACAGGTAACAGATGGTGTCAAAAGCAGAATACCTAAATAGACACAATGATGCATTGAAGTTAGGCCTCAAATTAGCAATGTCTATTAAACAATGTAATAATTAATACTAAAATAACTTTAATATATCCTATTTTTCAAGAGTATTCTACAAAACAAAACATAATTTGAGTAACATTATACGATGACCATTGGTAATCTAAAACATTATTGTCAAAGATTCAGAGATGTACTTACTCCATAGGCTTCCAATTATATACACGTGTTTTTAGAGTTTTTAACGATGCTGCCTTAACTCGTTTATTCATTCCTTCCAAGACTTCATCAGTTAATTCATTTCCATGCTTCTTCACCATTTTTTCCATTTCTAAAATATACAAAAAATATACAAGTTGGGAAATATAAGTATCATTTCATATACACTGTACTTATTTACAAGCAATCTCAATGTTCATGGAGCTCAGTAAATAAAAAAAAAAGATTCACAACAAAAATGGCCAATGCATGGATGGACACATGCCCCTAAGAACAGGACAACTATGTAACACATTTGTGCAAAGATGAGATAACGAGATGGATGCATTCACATTCGATCCAACTGTTTAGATGTTATTGACATGTTTGATATACATGTACATGTATAAGAGGGTTGTACTTGACTAGGTCTTACCCTTTTTCAGTATATCCTGTTCTATACTAATCCCCTTGCTCTGGATAACATGATCCTCCACTGCCAGTTGCCGACTAGTCAAGTATTTGGCCAATGCATCAGATTTTATACTGAGATTCTTCACTGGATAATCTAATCAAGAAACAAACAGAGTTAAAGTTGAAAAGTTGAGATTTCATCTTTGAAGTTTTATTTATTCTATTATTTAAAATAGTGTAACTTTTATTATATGTATACATTGAACATGAATTTTTTGTACTTATATACAATTAAGAGTGTGTATATTCTACCCCGGTTTAATTGAAGCCACACTCAATATTAAAGCAATCACATACGATGACATTTGACATCCGAGCTATAAAACATTATATAAGCAAGGGTCTATTTGAAGAGTGTATGGTGCCCAATATACATGTGCATGTATCTATATGATATGGCAACCCAAACATGAACAACATAGGCTACAAATCAGATGTAAGACACTTCACTACATCATGGGCTCTATCAGATGGTGGTAGAGCCCATGACTACATGTATTTTCGAAATCACCTGATAAGAGTTTCTCTATTGCATACTGGAGTCTTGCGGGTAGAGCTCTGACTTTATTCGGTACTATCCCAGGATGCAGCTTGTGCTTAAGTTTACCACTTTCTAATTCTTTTTCAACACCAGGATCCAATGTCACTTGATACTTGTGCTAAAACATAAAATATAGGTGACCTAGTGAGTTCTCTAGTGTAGATTTGAAAATAGCCTTATTAGGTTACTCAAAGTACCATACTATTATCAAATGAGCTCGTCAAATACGACAAGGAATCAAAGATTGTCATTTCTGTCCTGATCATTGTCCTTTCGGATTGTACATGATGCTCATCTCATTTTCAAGTCACCTGGTCGGCTAATTTTGGGATGTCATCTCAATATCTGATGTCATCATCTTAGATATAAATCTTGTCATCTGAACTCATTCTCTTGAATGATAAAACAAAGCCGATATGGTTTAATGTACTACAGCATAGGGATATGAAAAAAATATTGCAAAATGGTGGGCGATAATATAGAAAATTAACTTGAAATAAATAATATGACCTATGTAAATCTAAGATATCGGATATGTGTGGTCATATACGCACCTTATATCTAGCCCTATGTATTACATATCTAGAATATGTCAAAATCTTTTTGGAAGATAGCATATTTTCAGATTGATATTGAATCCCACGATTTTTGTAATTTTTTTTAAAAGTTCTACTGGATTACGTTATGAAATGTACCCTACATTTGGATGGAGCTTTGAGGCATGATCTAAGCTAAAAATGATAAATGAAGACCTCACTATGTGCTAGATAGTAATTCTAAAGATATTAGTAACTAAATCTGAACATAGAGAGCGACATTTACACAAATCACATCTTTCATAAAAGCGGAAGTGAAATTTGACTTCGGAAAATATGGCGGACGTTTTGAGTTTTGCTGGAGATGGATTTTCTGTTCTAAACACTGACCTAGGGTCTATTAAGAGGGAATTGATCTCATCCGCATCGGAGTGCTCACAAAGGGGACTTCTTCAAAGTTCCAAATGGTAAATATAAACAATTGTAGGTCGCAGTCTCCTAAAAATGGGATTTTCTTCTTGCTTCAGTTAAGGACAGGGTGCATGTTGGGAAATTTTCTGCATTCCTCAATTGAGTCACATGTTATTTTTCAAACATGAATAACTCCTTCCCCACATTATCTACATCTTCCAAGTTTGCACAAAGAGTGCACTTCTGTGCCTAGAAAAGCCTTGTGAGAAGGTTTGTTTTGTAAAATTTATAAAAAATGAGAAAATTCAGTGAAAAAAATTTCTGAAAATTTTCTGATTTTTTTCACTGAATTTTCTTGTTTTTTATACATTTTATCAAAACATTCTTCTCACAAGTCTTTTCTAGGCACATAAGTGCACTCTTTGTGCAAAACTGGAAGATATAGACAATGAAGGGAAGGAGTGATTCTTGTTTGAAAAATAACATGTGACTCAATTGAGGAATGCAGAAAATTTCCCATCATGCACCCTGACCTTAATTTTTACAGATTTAGGCCTAATAACTTATAGATCTAATAAAAACAATACATCATTATGAAAGTAACCATCTTATAAACGGTACATGAAGTCATAATTTTCATGATTGTAGGGCTGCAGAATTATGTTATGCTATAGATGAGGTAACCTGTACTCAAGAGTTCCTGCCTACCAATGATGTCACGCAGGTAAAAATTCATGTGCTGCAAATATCTGCATTTTGTTATCTTTCTAAATTACTTCCTAGATTATCATATACAATGTATCCCATTACGAAAAAAGCTATTCTGTATCCACCCGAAAACCCATTTGCATCCCATTGAAACAACAAAATCCTGAGAAGTGAGAACATCCAGGGCTGTGTCTGGAGTACCTTAAAATTTAAGGCTCTTTAGCCAAAATGCTAAAGAGCCTTAAAATTTCTCGCTAAGAGCTACTTTAGCCGAAATGCTAAAGAACCTTAAAATTTAAGGCTCTTTAGCATTTTGGTAACCCATTTGGCTAGAGAGCCTTAAATTTTAAGGTTCTCCAGGCGCGGCCTTCAAGAGAAGGGTATGCAACTCTGTGTTAAAAACATGAGAACTTCAAAATGAGCAGTGTCATGCTTCCCTATTTTGATATTATTTCAAAGAGTTTTAGATAAACGTAAATGATTTTGGTATTACCTTGAAGCAAAATCAAAGTAAACAAAAAAGAGCCATAAGAAAAAGAGGTATCAAAATGATCTCTTCGAATGTGGGTAATTATTCAAGAACACATTCCAATAAAATTATAATTTTTGGGAGTATGTTCACTTTCAATATTGCCATAATTATGATGATGATATTTTTGAGTTATTTCTTTCAATCATACATGAAAAGTACAAAATAAGATTTTTCTTGGAATGTGTACAGGAAGCATTTTTCTCCAATTTTGAAAACCCAAGGCAATACTTATGCATGAAATATGGGAAGATGCACACCCTTCTGTTGAAAGCCAATAGAACAGCTAAATATAAATGAATACATGTATTAAGACTTTGCTATTGATATTTCAGGATTTCCTCCAAGATTATGATGTATTTAATCTCGCTAAGAGCTACTTTAATCTCCGAGAGTATGACAGGGCCGCTCACTTTGCAGAGAAGTGTAAATCTAACAAAGGTTATTTCCTCTACATGTACAGCCGTTACCTGGCTGCTGAAAAACATCATCTGGATGACAGAGGGGATGCCATCAGTTCAGGTTTTGTGTTTTACTGTGTTTATACATAGGATCAATGAATTCACCTTTGGAACAGATTGCCATTGATAGTTTTTACAAGTTTTGTTCCCTAGTTAAAGAGACACTGTGACTGTGAGACAAATAGGGTACACCTTGATATTTTTATATCTGCCAAAGTCTGACTGTTAAAGATGTTATTTTCTCTGGATGGTTAAACAGATTGGACTATTGGTTCATTTTCGGTTTGTTAATTGGTTGAAAAATTGGTAGAAGATATTGAATCTTCCAGATTGCCTCCCTTTGAGCTCTGTGTATGGGATAAAGGCAGTCTAAGGAAAATTCAGTGAGGAGACTAGTGCCTGAACGACAGAACGACAGTCAACTGGTGACGGTATAATTAAAATCTGTCGACAGTTAAAATCAGCTGTCGTTGTCATCACTTCTGGGTCAAAATTGTCAAAAGTGACCCCCTCTGGAATTTTTAAGTGAGCCCCCTTGGCAAAACCTGGCTACGGGCCTGCAGGGCATTGAAACAACACAACCTTATAGATTGATATTTTTAATATGAATTTACTGACTATGAAATCAATCCTCAAATATTTTTTGAACATTTGTATGTTATTTTGTACTACTTTCCTCAGGTAACACTTCAATGACGGAGAAACTAGAGAATGACCACCTCAAGGTGTTGCGTACAGAGCTCCAGGCTAAACAGAAAACTGAAGATCTTGATGGTTACTGCTTGTACTTGTAAGTTTTATCACCTTCAATAATTCAATTTTGCTACTTTAAAAGAGGGAAAACAGAAAAATATATGTGTTCAAATATATATGTGTTCAAATATCCACCTAATAAACTAGACATGACCCTCAAGGTAAAGATTTTTTCATGTAAATCTTTTTGTGTTGTTAAATCTTTGTCGATGCATCTCTAGCTTTCACTATGTTACCATTGTCAGCGATGCACTAAAACTTCCTAGAAACATAATGTAACTGTAGGTAATTTACTAAATATGCTCTTGATTGAAATGATTGTCTTAGATATGGTGTGGTCCTTAAGAAGCTAGATCTACTGAAAGAAGCTCTGATTGTGTTCATGGAAGCAGTACATAAGGAACCCTCACATTGGGGGGCCTGGCAACAACTTAGCATGCTCATTACAGATAAAGAAACAGTATGTAAAATGTTTAATACAATGTACAAGGTTGTTCAAATAATATGCATTATGTACTAACTTTGGTCTAAAACTTTTATTATTATTTACCAACATTTTTCACTGAAAGTATTTCAGAGTTTACTTATACTAAAAATGTATTTTGAAGTGTATCACATGTGTTCAAATATCTACAATGTCAGGGAAGACACTCCGAATTTCATGTCAACTTTTATATTCATTTTCAGTTGAACAGTCTGTCATTGCCGAACCATTGGATCCGCTCCATCTTCCTAGCTTGCACGTACCTTGAACTCCAGCTTAATGATGAAGCATTGGCACTGTTACAGTCCCTTTATGACAGTGGCATGTCTAAAAGCACCTACATTTTGTCACAGATTGCAGTCGCGTATCAGAATCTTAGAGGTAAGAACTGATAAAACAACCTATTTACATGTATGTTCCTGAAAGGGTTCCGTGAGATATGACTGACATGTGATTGTGACTACATTAATGTGGTGTATGAAGTTTTCACAGTTGAATATAATTATTATTATTTATCTGGTTTTCATAGTTTTTATGTCACTACTTACCACAAGTAGTGACATATTGTTATAGTCTCCAACTTTTTTGTATACAGTTTTTGGTATCTGGCAGTCTTTGGTGTGTTTGGAGTTTGGCATCTGTAACAAATGGCAGGTGGTGCCATTTTGCATGTTAATACCTTGTTACTTATTACTTAAAATGTTTTTCCACCCCCCCCCCCTCCCCTAGAAAATTATTTTTACCATATCTTTCTCTCAGTCGAACATTTATCGCATTGAAATCATGTATGTATAAGTAGTCATCAAACGTCATCAATACTATTACTGTATATGTCTTCGACCAAATATAACATATTTAAACTTGTTATTTAGGTTAGCTATAATATACAAATAGACAAATATCTGATATGACTGGTTGATTAAACTGTAACTTGAATCTATGATTTTAGTTTGTCTTTGTAATAAGCATATACAGCTCCATGTTATGCAGCCTCACTCTACAGTCATATGGCTTCTGTGACCACTTATTCATACTGAAACTTTAGTCCAAGTGATTCCAGTTTGTCTTTGTAGTAAGCATCTATAGCCTCACTCTGGGCTACAGTCAATATGTAACCACTTATTCGTACTGAAACTTCAGTCCAAGTGATTCCAGTTTGTCTTTGTAGTAAGCATCTATAGCCTCACTCTGGGCTACAGTCAATATGTAACCACTTATTCGTACTGAAACTTCAGTCCAAGTGATTCTAGTTTGTCTTTGTAGTAAGCATCTATAGCCTCACTCTGGACTACAGTCAATATGTAACCAATTATTCATACTGAAACTTTAGTCCAAGCGATTCAAGTTTGTCTTTATAATAAGCATCTATAGCCTCACTCTGGGCTACAGTCATATGGTTCTTCCAGTCATCTATAGTCCCTGAAAATATAATTTTATGTAGTTATGTGAAGATGAATAAGTAAATGTATTATAGCAACGAAGACCCAATCTTTCAAAACAAATAAAGCTGTAGCAATCTGTTACACTATGGTTGTCCTGTGATATCAGCTTTTTACCTTGAAATATCATAACTTGAAAAAGTTGCTAAACATTAGTAAGAAACATCTTGGAGCTAGACATGAGTATGTCCATGAAGAGGTTACGCATTCACTGGCAAAGTGAGCAATCATATTTACAAAAAAAAAAGCTGTAACAAAATTCTTAATGGCTCGAGTTGGTTTGATTTTTAAATTTCTGTGTTCTTAGGGATCATTTAGCGGCCAAAATGATATCACAATGACAACATCTATTGAATTGTTCTTACATGAATATTATATTTTAACCTGTTTTAATAAATTCATATGAGATTACATTTGTGGTCCACACACGCAAACACCTGTTCTGTGTTACAATATAGCATACACTTGAGACATAAAATATATGATTGTGACTGAATCAACACTGGCTTGTGCTTGCACTTAAATTTATACACGCAGTACAGTATATACCAGACCAACATCACTGACTTGTCATTTGAATTTATGATCTAGAATAAAACAAACAGGGCGGCAAGGTTTGTGCATTTAATAAGTTTTAAATGTTTTCTGGTTTTACTCATTCATTCTTTAAACTTAACTTACCTTTCCTCATATGCGGGGCATCAGATGAATCCTTCAAACCGATCATCTTTACTACATCAGCAAATGCATCCCCAGTTGCTGGATTTGCTTTCATCTGTTTAAACTGGAGGTGGTGAACTATTTTCGCAAGTTCTTCATAGGGCTGTGCCGGAACCGGTTCGGACGGTTCGGAATCGGAACCGGAACTTGGTCTCACGGAATCGGAACTTTCGGAACCCCTTTTGGTTCACAAATGAAAATAATTATGTATGAAGATAATTTCTTCTAAATCAATTAATCTGATATTGTAAGAGTTAAAATGTAATTAATTAACGCTGTTAGATTGTAAGACGTCATGGAAAAGTAAATTTATTCATTTATCTATGAGTATTTTCGCCCCGTCGATTCCTACTTCCAATGAAATCCGAAGGTCAAAGTTCGTAAAACAAAACTTGATTTCTGTTGATTTCTCCGCTATTTATTTTGTTTATGCGAGTAATACACATGCAAATTGGATGTAGTTTGAAGGAAAACATCACTGGAGGAACAATGGTCACGGATATTAACGATTCAAAGCAAGTACTAAGGTAAGGGTCCGATATTGTTCCGAAACCCTTCGGAACATGATATTAAAATTCCGAATTCCGGTATTTTAACAAAAGTCCGCGGTTCGGACCGATTCCGGTCGAATGGCACGGCCCTAGTTCTTCATCTGTAAACTCTTTTCCAAGAAACTTGGCCACTGATTTCACAACACCAATCAAGTCCTACAATAAAAAACATGCTGTGTTTATTGCCGAATACAAAGAAAAGAGAATCCTTTATACCAGTCCTGTAAACTCTTTTCCCAGAAACTTTGTGACTGACAACATTTATCGTTTCCTGGAATATTAAAAGCCTGCTGTTTTGTATAACTCGTATTTCACCATCAGAAGTGAATGGCATTTTGTTGCCAGCATTCCAAGTTCGGCATCTATTACATTTGTAGTCAGCATCTGTAACGATTTGCAATAATTTACAAGGTGGTGACACTTTGTCATGTTGATGCCTTGTTAAAGGTTTTATGAAAGATGGTTAACACTATTATTTTTTTGTTTGTTGCAGACAAACTATACAAGAAAGTAATTATCAGTTTACCTTGACCATGTCTTCATAGTGGATTACTAATAATTTCTCCTTCAGTTGTTCCTTCATCTTCATCCAAGATTCAACATGTTGAAGCCATGTGCCACATTGGGCTAAAAAGATATTAAGCCTTGTACAAAAATTGATACAATCGAACTACACATGTAAATTAATGTCCAATTTTACTTTCTTTGGATATGAAAACTATGTTGTATAATCAAATATTTTCTGTGAATTTAAGAAAATGATTAACAGTTTAGGGGACTCTGGCTTAGAAAAAACAAATTTACCCATGATCCTTAAAGATCTAATATTTTCTGGATTTGTCATACGAGATCCCTCTTTTGATTTGGATATCAGCCATGGTTGTTCCAAAACCCGCGAAAAACGTGAAATATAGTAGCGACCGAAAATTACTGTATCTGTAATACTTGGTGATTGACAGCTACGCGTAATGGTTACTAGACAGGAAAAATTGGGAATTTCGAAACCACAATTTTTGGGCACTTTTATTGCAAATTTGAGGTATTTATAGTGTGTGTGTGGTATAAAATATAATCCACAGACATAAGTGAACATACAAACTATATGTTTTATTAAGTTTGCAGATCAATATGTTGCCCCTAAAAAAACCAAAAAAAATATATTGCAGAAAGTTAAATACTATAATAAATACATCATACTATCCCACATCATTTGAGACTGAATGCTCTATCTTGTATGAGTACTTGTATCTACAACTTTTTTTGATGTTATGAGTATTGGATATCAATTTCTAATTTTTTCTTCAACATGTATTGTAATGACTTCAGTATGAATGAAATGTCCCTTGGTGTTCAGGTCTTTGATTGTGATATCGGCTCTTGAATGGTGGGGGAAAGGGGGTATTAGACATTGCTTCTTTTCACGTTAGATCATGGTTTGGGATATATGGGGTTTGTTTTTCTTGACTGGTATTCAATTAGAGTTTGCTTTTTCTTGCTAATTTCCATTACAACTTTTGGTCCTTTCCCATTGGCACTTGTGCTTAGATATTAAAACTGTAATTTCCAGGAACACCCAGATTTCACAAATTGATTTCAGTGTTTTGTTCATTATTACCAACTTACTTTTTTCTCCACTGTCTGTCATCAATGAGTTCATCATTATATCCACTGTTATAGGCTCAGTAAAGGCTGCTCCAAAACCATTGAGCAAAAATGTATTGCTAACTGTCACAGACTTTGGGTTTCGTAAGACAAGAATTATCTGAAACGGGACAACTTTATTGTTTTATAGATAGTGGTATTGATTAACATCATTTTACACAGATTTGTGATCATTGGCGGAATGTTAAGTTTTATTTCCCTGTCACCAGTTTTGCATTCAGCATTCTGTTTTCTAGGAATATCCCATGGTTCTGAAAGATATAATTTATATCCATGAGAGGATATTGATATCTTCACAAGTGATCATGGTGAACATTAAATAATCAGATAAAAAATGAAAATTTTGAAAAAATTGTTATGAAGAATTAATGAAACCCAATGAAAATCACTTTTGAAAATATTGAATACCATTTTTTAAGAAGCAATTTTCGATGTTTTTTTGCTAAATATGATATGTTTTCGGTGTTTTTTTTGCTAAATATGACATCTTGATTCATATATCAAATATATCTTCATGTGATATTTAATCAATATCCTTGCACCCGTGAGATAAACTTTTACATCTTATTGTTGCATTGATGTAACTTGCAGATTAGCATTGTTTTAAATATACCTTGCATTTCCCTTGGATAACATCTTCAGGCATGAATTTAGCTGGAAGATGAGATACCAGTAACCTAGGAGACTGCATATTTTCGAGCTCATCAAAACAGCTTCCATCAGGCTCGTCTTCGAACGCATTAATTTCACCTCGGAGTGCTGAAGTATAAAACACTATATTACTAAAGGGTGGTCCACAAAGTGCCATGTCTTTAAGTTTATTTTGAAAAATATTTCTGATGTGATGAAGGAATTATTATTGGTTCACTAATATTCACATAGGGAGCCTCTGAACTCAGTCTCTCCATCAGTCTGTCCCTCAACACTGGTGCCAAAAATCAAAAAGTTATATGTATTAAATAAGGTTGTATCTATAGCCTCTACATTCTCTGATTTTAGTCATGCCTCAAATAAGAGTACCAGTTTGACATTTTACACAGTCTGTCAGAAATGAAATACAATACATATATGGTAGGGTGTTCAGTTTACTCTGAAATTAAAGGACAGCAAGGCAATTTGTCGTCCATGTAGGTAATTCTCCGACAAATGACTGCATACAGTGAATGTCCGACAATTGCGTACATGGATGACATGTCCTCCCTGTATTCTATTGGCAGATAGACAATGAAATATTAGAAGTATAACGAGACAAGAGAATGTGATGAAGATGAAGAAAAACTGATTCAACATCAATAAGAAATAGTTGGGAAAATTTGCCTGAATAGGGAACACTGTTCCCAGATCTTATTTGTGGTAAGGAAGATCAGTCTGTAAGGTGCAAGATTGAACCCACAAATTATAACCTTGCTCTTTTAATATTATTTGGGGCTCGGATTAATATTTTTTATCTTCCTGAGCCAACATAATGTCTGTCATAAATTGTTATACTTTGTAACCATTTGCATTAACTTGCTATGTTTTGACATTTTGTTGTGTAAATACCTTGTTTAATGATATATTGGTTTTAATACATGTACTACCTTTATCTGATATTCCTAGAAAATGCATTCGTCTATGAATCTGTGCTTTGATGGCCTCTGTATCACCATTGTTTCTCACCAAGTCCACAAGTTCTGCTGTCCAATGAGTTCCTAAAAAATGGTGTTATATGAACATGAGTATATGAACTTAAGAATATACTGAATATCAGTTGAACGCTATTTTCCAAATGATAACAGCTTTTTAAAGAAGGATATTTCTTTGATTTTTAATCCTTTTTTGCCTCAGATAAATTTTTTCCATCATCACTCATAAATATATAAGCACAAGTGCCAAAGGGAAAGGACCAAAAGTTGTAATGGAACTTAGCAAGAAAAAGCAAACTCTAAGTGTATACTAGTCAAGAAAAACAAACCCCATATAGCCCAAAATCATGATCTGACGTGAAAAGAAACAATGTCTAATACCCCCTTTCCCCCCACCATTCAAGAACCGATATCACAATCCAAGACCATAAGACCAAGGGACATTTCATTCATACTGAAGTCATTACAATACATGTTGGAGAAAAAATTAAAAATTGATAGCCAATACTTATAACCTCAAAAATAGTTGTAGATACAAGTACTCAAACAAGATAGAGCATTCAGTCTCAAATGATGTGGGATAGATAAAATCCAGTCTCCAAGTCCAAAGGCGTTTCAAAGGGTCACACCCATTCACAAAAGCCGTCGCCATAATCCATAAAACACAATAATTCACAATGGTCATCAGGAGAAAACTATAATAAAGATAAAACCTACAAAACCTTACCTGATCTCATGTATGATGCTATCAATATATCATCCTCTCTTATTGGTAGTTTGTTTAATTTTTTTACATGTGGCCAATCATAGTTTGGTGGCAAAAGACAGCCATTCATTATCACACATTTTGTTTTAATTAAATCAGCCACTGTCATCTTTGTATCAGTCATTTTTATGTCAAAATATTAACTTTGACTTGTTGAAAGTCTGAACTGAAATTTGCCACTTCTTGAGATTCGATATACATGTAGTTGATAAAGTACAAAGAATAATAGACAGTCTCAAATGGTTGATATTGCAAGTTATTTGACTTTGTACTTTGTACTTCTCTATATGCTGTACAATTATGTCAATATCAGGTCAAGTATTTTTGTGATAATTTAATACTAAAAAACAGTTCACATTGACCTAGAAATACAAGCACCCCCTCTCCCTTGTACAGGGTGTCCGGAAAGTATAGGGCCCCCTAGCCAGACATATACCAATGTCTCCATAGTATGTGTCATATATCATTTTAAAGCTTATCCAAAGTTATATTGATTTGCCAAGTATCATGGTTCAACTCACAAATGGTAAAAAGTTACAGGCACCACACCCCCCCCCCCTTAAATAAATTAAAAAAAAACAATTTTGCAAAATTTGTTGAAAAATATTAACAAATTATAGTTTGAAATGCCTAAAATCCACCATATATAATGTCAATTTAAACCCGCTTCTCGGAGCCTGCAAACCCAAAAATTGAAAATTGCTGGCTACGCCCTTGTCTGATTATCTATGTTTATTACTGTGTGTCTTTTTCATGGTTTCATTTACATTGTTGATCTTGCCAGATATCCAATTAGTGAATTCATACAGAAATCTTAGTGCAAAGGATGTAAGGGTTTACTATAATTCAAAGGTTTGCTTGGAACTTAAACCAGGAATTAATCCTTATGGTGGAATTTTCACAGAAATCTTTGTATTCTGTTGTAAAAATACCCATCCATCCCATGAGAAAGGGTTTCATGCAATTATGCAAAACTTTGAATGATGCATTATACCAAGACAAGACTTTCAACCCCTTAATAAATTAGAAAAACTAACCTGATCTCATGTATGATGCTTTAGATATATCATCCTCTCTTAAGATGTATATTGGCAATGTGTTTACTTTTTTTTATATGCAGCCAATCAAAGTTTGTTGATAAAACATCTTATAGAACATACCTGATCTCATATATGATGCTATCAATACATCATCATCCCTTATTGGTAGTTTGTGCAGTCTTTTGAGAGTTGGCCAATCAAAGGATAATGGGAAAAAACAGCCATTTATTATATCATATTTTGATATATGTACATCAAAAACTGTCTTTCTTGTATCAGTCATTGTATACTTCAGAAATCATGTGTACGGATTCACGCTTTGTTGATAGGCTGTATTATACTACTACTTGAAAACTAAAATCAGGTGTACTAGTTTTATTTTAAAGTACAGATTGTGGTGAGTCAAGTTTGTTTCTGATTACTGATAATGCAAGTTTGTGTACTGTACATTTAACCAAGGCTGGTATTATACTATTACACTCTACTATACCTTGCATTTGGTGTTCATGAGCAACCCATTTAGCTTATTAGTTATGATTATGAAATTTGTTTTTATTTGTCTGTTCCTTATTAATGGTTTATCGGTTGGATGTTAGATGTTACTAAGGCACTTTCAAAAATATACTAAACAATACAATTAGACAAACAAAGTATCTTATGCATTTCTAGGTGTTACGTACAGTAGAGTGTATTATATAAATACTATTATGCAATCATCTGGTCAACTGCTTTACAGTTCAAACCTATTTGTCAAATGAGTACAGTTGTATTCTGATTTATTCTGTCTTGAGGAGATACTAGAGACTGTGGAGCCCAAAAGGGGGAAGTAGTAAAGGCCAGGGATTATATTATATTTAACAACAGTCATGGGGCTGAAACTATCAGAGAGCCAAGATGTGCTGCAACTTTGTGTGGTTATTCATACTGAAATCTTAGTCCAACTGATTCTAGTTTGTCTTTATAATAACCATTTACAGCCTCACTCTGGGCTAGTCATATTAGCTAAAACTATCAGGCTCACTGTAACCATTTATTCATACCATGGGCTTTCAACTCTAGTTGAAAGCCCATGTTCATACTGAAACTTTAGTCCAAGTGATTTTAGTTTGTCTTTGTAATAAGCATCTACGTAGATTTTTCTGGACAGATTTTGTAACTGCTCAGAGACAACAGAAAGCAGAAGAGGTGTCAAGAGTTAAAAGTGGCAGTTGGAGGGGTGGCAGGTGTTGAAGATCAGGGTCCACTTTCAACTGTAAGGACTAGCCGCATGAACACATCATGCTAACCACCACCTATTGGACAGCCAATGGGGCAACCAATCAGGCAACCTTTGGCCAGAGATTCTAAAGATGAGAAGCTAAGAAAACTACAAGCACATACCAAATAATCTGCATGCATATAGAAAATAGGGAAAATCTATTCATCTTGAAGGGCAAACATGCTCAGCTCTAGCAGGACAAAGTGGCTTTAGAAAAGAAAAACAGAGAGCTGTGGAGAAATAATGAATCCCTTCAGAGAGAGGTCGAGGGTTTCGTAGAGATGAGAGAGGAAGTCCTACCTTAAGTTTACACCATGGGAGTTATGAAATCTATGGGAGGTGGTCCTAGAGGACCAGCACCCCCACAACTAATGCAGCCCAGACCACCCCACCAAATGCAGCCAAGACCACCGCCCCTACAGGGTCCCTTACAATAAACTCCTTTTATAAACACATCGTTCTTGAAGTGTAGACATTGAACGAGTGCGAATTATTTTACATTGATATCAAGTACAGGAGTTCATGTCCAATTATATAGAAGGCATATTTTACTTTTAGTTTGTATTTTAACCAAACAAGACATTGTATAAGATGAGTTTTATTTCCAGTTGCACATTTTCTTATTTTTTATTAAAATTCACATTGATGAAATAACTTTTTAAATTTCAGGATGAAAAAAAGCATCTATGTTCTCACTCTACAGTCATATGGTTATAGCTACCATGCTTTCTGTAATTGGTTATTCATACTGAAATTTCAGCCCAAGTGATTCCATTTTGTCTTTGTAATAAGCATCTACAGCTTCACTCTGGGCTACAGTCATATGGTTCTTCCAGTCATCTATAGTCCCTGAAAATATAGAATTATGTAGTTATGTGAAGATGAATAAGTAAATGTATTATAGCAACAGTGACACATTCTTCCAAAACAAATAAAGCTGTAGCAACCTGTTACACTATGGTTGTCCTTTGATGTCAGCTTTTTACTTTGATATATGATAGCTTGAAAAAGTAAGAAACATCTTGGAGCTAGACATGAGCACGTCCATGAAGAGGTTTGCATTCACTGACTAGGTGAGCAATTTTCATCAAGGTCTCATATTTACAAAAAGAGAGCTGTAACAAAATTCTTAATGGCTCAAGATGGTTTGATTTTTAAATTTCTGTGTTCTTAGGGATCATTTAGCGGCCAAAGTGATATCACAATGACAACATCTATTGAATTGTTCTTACATGAATATTATATTTTAACCTGTTTTAATAAATTCATATGAGATTACATTAATGGTCCACACACGCAAACACCTGTTCTGTGTTACAATATAGCATACACTTGAGACATAAAATATATGATTGTGACTGAATCAACACTGGCTTGTGCTTGCACTTAAATTTATACACGCAGTACAGTATATACCAGACCAACATCACTGACTTGTCATTTGAATTTATGATCTAGAATAAAACGAACAGGGCGGCAAGGTTTGTGCATTTAATAAGTTTTAAATGTTTTCTGGTTTTACTCATTCATTCTTTAAACTTAACTTACCTTTCCTCATATGCGGGGCATCAGATGAATCCTTCAAACCGATCATCTTTACTACATCAGCAAATGCATCCCCAGTGGCTGGATTTGCTTTCATCTGTTTAAACTGGAGGTGGTGAACTATTTTAGCAAGTTCTTCATCTGTAAACTCTTTTCCAAGAAACTTGGCCACTGATTTCACAACACCAATCAAGTCCTACAATAACAAACATGCTGCATTTATTGCCGAATACAAAGAAAAGAGAATCCTTTATACCAATCCTGTAAACTCTTTTCCCAGAAACGTTGTGACTGACAACATTTATCGTTTCCTGGAATATTAAAAGCCTGCTGTTTTGTATAACTCGTATTTCACCATCAGAAGTAGATGGCATTTTGTTGCCAGCATTCCAAGTTCGGCGTCTATTACATTTGTAGTCAGCATCTGTAACGATTTGCAATAATTTACAAGGTGGTGACACTTTGTCATGTTGATGCCTTGTTAAAGGTTTTATGAAAGATGGTTAACACTATTATTTTTTTGTTTGTTGCAGACAAACTATACAAGAAAGTAATTATCAGTTTACCTTGACCATGTCTTCATAGTGAATTACTAATAATTTTTCATTTAGTTGTTCCTTCACCTTCATCCAAGATTCAACATGTTGAAACCATGTGCCACACTGGGCTAAAAAGATATTAAGCCTTGCACAGTATATTGATACAATGGAACTACACATGTAAATTCATGTCTAATTTTACTTTTTTTGGATATGAAAACTACGTTGTATAATCAAGTATTTTTTGTGAATTTAAGAAAATGATTGACAGTTTAGGGGACTCTGGCTTAGAAAAAACAAATTTACCCATAATCCTTAAAGATCTAATAGCAAAGGTATTGCCAAAATAAATCAATGTAGTATAAATCAAATGTATGTATAATAATGAGAAAATAAATATATAATGAAAAGAATAGATAAGTGTTTGTAATATTGGTTTTAACTTAAGATTAAAATATCACCATCAAATTATTATGTTTCACTAATTTTCAGTTTTTTAAAATGTCACGGCTATTAATTTTCTGGATTTGTCATACGAGATCCCTCTTTCGATTTCGATATCAGCTATGGTTATTCCAAAACCCGCGAAAAGCGATAAAGTAGCACACGAAAATTATTGGGAGTAATATCTGTAATACTTAGAGATTGACTGCTACGTGTAATGGTTACATGGCTAGCGCGATATAGGAAAAAATGGGGAATTGCGAAACTACAATTTTTGGGCACTTTTATTGCAAATTTGAGGTATTTATAGAGTGTTTGTGGTATAAAATATAATCCACAGACTATATGAACAGTCTCTGGATTTATTAAGTGTTTTATTAAGTTTTGG